ATCTAATTAGCAGCAGAGAGACTGACAGGACAAGAAAAAAGAAGGAGGTGTAGCAAAAAATAGTGAGAGAGAAAAGAAAGAAAGTGCAGCAGAATGAAAGACCCTCAGGGGAAGATGAGGTGGCAGCGAATGGACGAAAACACTCACAAGCTCTTCATACAATGTAAGAAAACACTACAAAATAGACTTCCAGGAACTGAATTAACTGTTCTTTGCAGTGCTGTTATCCTCATTATACTCTATAAAGTAGTTCAAAGAAATTCTGAAAACACAACATCGCTGTCTTAACTAAACCTCACATCTCTGAAATGACAACTTTAAAGGAAAATTTTCAGCTCTTTAATGTAAGTTTATTACCATCTCTATTAGCCAATCCATCATGAAATATTCAAAAAACGCTAGCAGTGATCAAAGTGCCACTAGCGCTTTAAAAATGGTGTACAAACTAGGGATGCATGATCTGAATTGGTAGATTTTTGCTCCAAACATGCAATCAGCAATTGGACAATTTACCATTTGGGCAATTTATGTTGCAATGCCATGATTTATTAGGTAACTTGAAGTAAGTATGCATAACTCATTGTGCTAGATAGCCAGTTGCATCTCACTTTCAATGTAGAACTTTATTTGATTCAGTATTTAAATAGGCAATTTATTTATCATTTAATAATTTAAAATGTTAGTTTTGTCCAATGAAGACCAAACAATGTTATTTATATTGTAATTCTGGCCAATAGAAAGTACTGGAAATGGGCTAGGGTGTTTGGTTTATTTAGGCCACACAGTCACACAATCACAATCTGTCATAAAAATACATTAGAAGAGCACTTCTAGTAAAAACATAAGAAAATGAACAAAATTGACTTTTCATATGGTTTTCATATGACAGCAATGATGACTTTATTTGCATAGTCCACTATGGTCCCCTATAGATTATCTACAGATATTCAAATTGTTAACAAACTATCTGTTAAAACTTGTTTTTTTTTCTAAACAGTGGTGGGGTTAGGGTTAGGATTTGGACCAGGGTTAGTAGATATTTAGTTGAATGTAACTTGAAAGTAAATTAAGTATCTACAAAGCATCTAACGTGGACTATGCAAATAAAGTGTTACCATGATGAGTAAATGTATATAATGCAATGCAAGATGACATTTTCTAGTGATGTATACGAAAGTCTGAATCATAAACCAAAAAGCTTACATACCCTACTGTTTATAAATTCAAAAATAAATAAATCTGAAATAAATGGCTAAAGTCTGCTACGGGGCAACGTCAGAGCAGCACTGGTGATCACGTCCACATCAGAGCAAACTAAATTTGGCAAGTAAAGAGAAAATGCTCATTAACATTGGCATTCCAGTGGAACAGTGACACCATATCACAACACAGATCAAAGAGAGAGAGGGGGGGGGCTGAGTGAGAGAGAGAATGAGAGAGAGAGAGAGAGAGAGAGAGAGAGAGAGTGACAGACAGAGATTCAGAAAGAGAAAGAGAGAAGAAAACAGAATAGGAATAGGAAAAGGATAAAGGGGGAATTGGGAAGAGAGACAGAGAGAGAGTGAGAGAAAAAAACAGAAAGAATGATTGCAGAGAGAGAGAGAATCAGAGAGACAGAGTGAAGTAGAAAAAGAAAACAGAAGGCAACAGAGAGGAAAAATATAGGGAAAACAGAGAGAGAGAGAGAGAGAGAGAGAGAGAGAGCAATAAAGAGAGAAAGAAAGAAAAAGAGAAAGACTGATAATACTGAAGCAGTTGAATGTTCAGGCTTTATGCTCTGATTACATCTCAATATGTGAATACTGTATCTCATACATAGAGACTATAGCACTGCCGCGCTGGTTTCTCAAATCCACTAACATGCTTTCCAAACGCATGATAGTGTGACCTGCAAAGTGCCGCACGGCTGATAGAAAGTCAGCTACACAAATGGCTCAAAACCTTCTTCACCAGAATTCTGAGGAAGATAAGCTGAATAGGGCTTTATGAGGGGTTTCCACTGGACTACATATTACTGCTGCTACAGGGCTGAGGACAATGATCCAAAGCGCACCTCCAAATCCACACAGAAACGAATCACTGACCACAATTTCATATAATGAGGGCCATTCCAGTTCCCTGACCTAACACTCACTGAAGTGAGGAGAGTTCACAAGAAAGGCCCAAAGACTCTCAAAAGACTCTGCATGGAAAAATATGGTCTCAGATACATTTTTATACGTGTTCTTTTCCTCATCCACCAATATAATAGGAGATCCAGTGCTATTATGGCAAGGGGAAGGTGCAAAGGGAAAGGGACGTACTAAATGCAGGCATGCCAATAGTTGCAACACATGTTTTAAAACAATTCATAATATGAATAGGAATAGACTATTTGTAAGTTGTATTTTGTTTATAATCATCAATGTTTTTACATAAGGACTTACATTATATGTAGCTTTAATTCACTGAAATAATTTTCATTGAAAGGTTTTTTCTCTATCTTCTCATTTTTTTCTCAAATTTTTAAGTATAAGATCGAGTTGCTAAACAACAAATTTAATGTCATTTTTTCTCATCTTTACAAACGGTGCTGACAATTCTGGAGGGCACTCTCAATAGTGTTGTGTACCCTAACCCTAATCTTAAAATCAATGTCCTTCCATACTATAAAGTATTTTGAGTGAAATACTGTATCAGGGTGGGCCTCTGAGCTCTGAGGGTGGTGGGAGAGCAAACACAATGTTACCAGTTAATAATAGTTTTCCCCATATACTGCTGCACTAATATGTTCCAGGCCAGGGGCATGACTAGACTGTACCAACATCAGGAGCTGAGCCTATGGCTCACATGGTCATGGACCCCCAGGATGAGGGGAAATATTTTCAGCAGTTTCCGTACAAGTGTCCTGGTTGAGATGAGTTGTAAAAATATTTCACACAAACATCTATAGTTGAATTCCAGAGGGCCTCTGACTTTTGAACCTCATTTTTTTAATATGCAAAGCACATGGTCATGCCTTTAAATTCACAAATTTACTTGAGCATGTTTAGCAGTCTGAAGTTTCTCCACAAGGGGGAGCAATTTTGGACCATTTCTGCTGATATTTTAACAAACTATAAACGGCAGTTAGCATTTTCAAATTTTGTAAAAAAAATTATTAATTAATTAATTAATTAATTAATTAATAGGAAAAACATGTAGATATAAGGTCTTGTCCCAAAAGTGACGATATAAGCAAAAGTCCACATAGAAAGTAGGGTGGAGTAATATGACTGATAATCTTGATTATTTAAGATCAAAATGTTGTGCTAATTGCTTTTAGATGTTATTCAGGCCTATTTAATATGACCAAACACATGAATTAACGAGGCAACAAGGTCCATTTTGATTCAGGGAAACTTTAACATCCATCAGTAACCAAAATCTTAAATAGGCTTGTTTTAAAACAAAGCCTAATCAGAATTGTATTTACTTAGAGAGAGTAAAAAAAGTACTCTCTCTCCACACATACACACACACAAACACACACACACACGTGTGGAAGACTGAAGTGCTGCAGTGGTTACTCACAGCAGTCAACTGATTTATTTACAAATCACCATTAGCAACACATAATGGAACTTAAACCGCACAGCAGCACCATATATCACCTGCATTACAGTGATGCACATACTACTGAGAGGCTGTGTGTGTGTGTGTGTGTTTGTCTACTTCAGGACAAGCTAACCCTAACAACGTATCATATATTCAGAGACTTTGACAACGCCCCCTTTAACTCATTAACATCAGAGTAGATGTGGTGTGTGCATGTTCAGTACAGTAAAATGTATCAGCATGTGGAATTAAAGCTTTCTCTTTTCTTGCTCCTGTGTTTTCTATCACTAAATAAATGATACTAGCTGCTTTTATTGGTGGATGCACTGTGATTGCTAAAAACGGTAATTTGTAAAAGCTTCAAAAGATTATGTTCTTTACAGGTCACAATTAATGAAATGGGGGGACAACAGACTTTGTTTTTTTTTTGTTTATTTGCCTTATGTTTTAGTTTTTTATTTCCTTTTTTTACAAAGCATTCACACAAAAAGCAATAATGATAGGAAAAATACTACTACTATTATTACTACTTCTACTACTAATAATAATGGCAACACTTTCTTTTTCAGTAATTTTGTGACAGTTCCTAACTCTGAAGCAGATGCAGGAGCAAACAGTGATGTATTTTAAAAAGTTTTTAAAAGATGCAGAAGTTCATTTATGCTCACACGTGTCTTGTTATTGTTTGCATCAAATGAAACAACAAGTTATCGAGTTACAACTTTTCTTTTTACAGGCAGTACTCTCACTGGGGGCTGTTACCACAGTAACTTGGATGACCACCATCGTATACAGGCCTAGGTTGAGAAATTCACCTTATTAAAGAAGAGTAGATTAGAAGGTGCAAAGAGATGATTTGATGTCTCAGCATTACAGAGTTAATTGGAGTATGGCTTCGAGATCAGCAGCTAGTTTAGCAAGTCTGGAGTAAACTGTACAGTCATTTGTTCTGCAGAGAAAGAAAACATTTTGTGTGTGTACCTCAAGTGGCCACTGCTGGACACACATAGCAAGAAGGGTCCTTTAATTATGTTGTTTCAGAGTGTGTATGTGTGTGAGTGTGTGCGAATGCCCACGTCAGCATTCTCTCTGTGGTTTTTTATTAGAGTGCTGACAGACAGATCAATACACCAGACTGTATAGACACACATACACACACACACACACACACACACACACACACAGCTCCACATCACTTACAAGGCCACTTGAGAAACAGTGAACCTGAGAGAGAGAGAGAGAGAGAAAGAGTGTGTGTATGTGTGTGTGTGTGAGGGAGATTTTAATCTTCAGTTATCAGCTCAAGTACAGTTTGAACAAACAACTCACTCAGCCAAGCTAAAGCTCTCCTGGGAAGTAGTAGTAAGAGTGTGTGTGTGTGTGTGTGTGTGTGTTTCTGTGTGTGTTTGAGGTCATACTCTTACCTTGACCTTTTCCTGCAGTTTTCCGAGACGGACAGTGCCCTCGATGATGCGGGTGAGCACACCCTGCTTGTCTTTCTCTAAACATGAGGCCTGAAGACGGAGAGAGGGGAGAGAGGGGATTACACAACTACACACACATAGAGAGAGAGAGAGAGAGAGAGAGAGAGAGAGAGAGACAGACAGCGAGAGAGAGAGACACAGAGAGAGAGACAGAGAGAGGAAGATGAAGAATAGAAAGAGAGTAAAAGAGTCAGATGGAGACAGAGAGAAAGAGAGAATGATAAGAAGAAGAAGAAGAAGAAGAAGAAGAAGAAGAAAAGAAGAAGAAGAAGTATATGTAGAATAAAAGAGTCATAAGGAGAAAGAAACAGAAAGACAAGAAAATGAAGAAAAGAAGAACAGTATGTAAAGAGAAAGTATAGAGAGTGGGAGAGAGAGAGAAAATAAAGAAGTGAGAGAGTAAGAGTAAAAAACAGAGAAAGAGAGGAGAAGAGGAAGAAGAAGAAGAAGAAGAAGAAGAAATATAGCATGAGTAAGAATAAAAGACAATAAAGAAAAAGATAGATAACAAGAGAACAAAGAAGAAGAAGAAGAAGAAAAAGAAGGAGAAGAAGAAAAAAGACAGACATTGAGAGCAAGAGACAGAAGTTGAGAGAAATTCAGAAATGAAAAGAGAAAGAAGAATAGAGAGCAAGCAAGAAAAAGAGAGAGATGCGAAAAAAAAGCAGGGAAAGCACAAGGGAGGAATAGGTCACATGGTTGAAGGGAAGCAGGAAGGGAGAGAGAAGAAAATAATCCAGTTTTTAATAAACACAGAAATAAAAAGACACACATCAAGGACAGGCTGTGCTGATGCTTCAGACCATTTGAGGAGTTATTCTTCAATCACACTTAATACAGAGTTACATAGCACCTTTGAATTGGGTGACAACAAGCAAGAACAACCGAGAGAAGACTTGCAGTGTTTTGTAGCCTACAGTATTCTGTATTCTGTGGTGAATTCAGAAATGAATTGGGATGAAACAGCGTGCTGGCTGTGAGTACTAAAGAGCAAGCAAAATGCCATAAATAAACCTTAATATATTCTCATTAGCTATTAGGTTTTTTGGGACATGCCTCCCAGGGTGAAAGGAATAAGGAGATACATCCTGGGGCATTACTAGAGAGAGAGTGGTATGCAAAAAGCAAGACAAATAATAAATAAAATACACACAAAACAGAGAAAATGTACTGTACATCTGATAAGAAAGGAAAAATAATAATAATAATAGTTAATCAATAACAGAAGGTCTAAATTCACTGCAATACCTGGCCAAAGTCAACAGTTTGGGCAACAGATAACAGTACCTGTTTGATAATGGGAAATTTTACCTACTTTTCTCCCCAGTTTTGTCATTGCCAGTTCTGTGCACTAGTTAGGTTTCCCTCATCACACAATGCTACCAAGCTGGGAGAGCGAAGGCTAGCACTAAGGCTGGGTATTAAAATTCAGTACTTGCCATTCAAATTACTACCTACAGACATATAACAACAAATATTAACATCTAAATAGTCAGTCTGAGCATCCATAAGCCAATTAGCATCACTGTTCCAAAATCTAGACTGATTGGCTGTTTAAATTTTAAATTATTCTGTAAGCATGTAATTATTATTGCGTGACATAATGCTTTTGTCGCTAGCGCTTCCTAATTAGTTTGTCCGGTCAGTAAATATACTATCACTTCACACTCATTTCTGGTTTGTAATTTAGCTAATGATATCAGAAAAAGTATCATTCAGGAATCGGTTTTGAAATCAAGGTAACAGTACTGGTATCTATATAAGGATTTTTTTTTCCTTTTCAATGCAATGTCATTGGACAGCTCAACACACCTGGAGGAGAACTCTTAATTGTCAGTTCTGTTACGTGAGCTAGCAGACTCCCGCATTCGTTAACACTGCGCTAAGTAATGGGGAAGAGGGAGGGCCATCCTACCCACCCAAAAAGAACAAAGCCAATAATGCTCTCTTGGACGCAAGTGGTTGGTTGCACCAGCTGTACATAAGTTCAAATATAGGATAGTTATAATGTAAGTGTTTACTAAGTTCCAGTTTCCAAATTACTAAATCAAAGCAAGCTGGTTTGTAGTAAATATTTGCTCCTCCCCCTAAACAGGTGTACATGTAGGAAAACCAACAGAAACCACAAAGAAAGCACATAAAAGACCAAAAACAGCTAACAGATTGACTAAGCTAAACCCCTAAGTGCTGTATGTGCTGTTGTTTTACTCACAGCTCTGGTTTTACAGCGCCCTGGTTTTAATTCCGAGCATGAAGCTAACACCCACAGCCTCAAGTTCACTGAGACTTGGCAGTTGCCCAAAAGTCAAAGCTGATGCTGCTGTTGTGTTAGCCAGGAACCATTGCTTAAAAAACAGCATACCCAGTAAATATTAACCCTTTAACATTCCAGGATTATTACATACTAAAGCTTATTATTCAGTAGCTACACAGACTTCAATCCAAACTAATGGAGCTATGCTTAGGTTATAGAAGTGTGTAATCAAAACAATGGCTTGTTAAGGGGTTAAAGAATAAACAGACAATAGCTACAAGTATTCAGTTTTATTCAGTTGAACATGTACACACTGTTCCTTGTTATACTGGATATTTTTCCATGGAAAATCAGAAAGTCAGTGCAAGCTGCCGTATGCATTAGTTAGTTGTTACTAAGGGTTTGTGATAACACTACATTTGTACTGCTAACTAAGGACTTAGTAAAGACTTTCAGCACAAACCTTAAGTACCACAGGGTAGTCCTGTAGCTGTGAGGACATCAATATCAATAACCTAAGTTTGAAATTAAAAATTGACTGTTGTGATTTACAAAATAGGCACAATGGCCCTTTAGTGCTCATAAAAAGATGAAAAGGGTGGCCGCTGCTCTTTTTTGTGCTTTTGCTATTTGTATATCATTGCCGTCTACAGAAAAACAAGTATCTTCAATGGCAACTATATGGTAACTATACAGGAGAAGGCAAAAACATTCTTAACTTTTACTATAAGTTAATGCAAAGAGATTCTAAACCAAGCAATTCTGGGGCATTTCTACTGGTCACTTCATCATGAAATTTTCACATTTTAGCTGCTGAGCTCAAATTATGCAGATAACTAAAAATCACAAAAAATGGAGATTTTTTTATTTTGGTCAGCGACAATATGCATTAATACATATATTAATATATATTATATATTAAAAATACTCTGAGGAGACCATTATAATGAAACACCTACTCCGATTTATCAAGGCTGACAGTAAATACTACATTTTTAAGCTTGTCTTATTTTGGACGCTAGCATGGCTGCCACTGTTTGCGCAAAAAAAGAGAATTTTTCTAACGTTTATTTTTTTTCAATGAAAACATTTTTTTTCAATGAAAAAAAAAATTGTGAATGCCTGTGAGGACACATTATTCTGATGAAGGAAATAAAAAAGCTGAAAACAAAGTTTTAAACAGCTATTTTATAATATATGTATATTTTACTTTCATCAGTGTAAAGCAGCAACTTTTGCTTAAATAATGATTCAACAGTTTTCTTTTCAAACGATTGTTTGAAAACACATATTGAAACTCTTCAGGCAGTGCAATCTCTGCATTACTAAAGCTCCTTCTTACATCATTACTGTGTTGCTTTGCGTGTGCTGTGGCTAAGTTGTCACTACATTTGATATACAGCAAGTTGCTAGGAGGTCATGCTCATCACAAGTTCATAATCATAAAGTTCCAAAACAACTATGACATCAAGAATGCAAGGATGCAATCAATGAAATTAAACAGGGATTTAACAACATTGATTTCCAAACGCATGCAGTATGGACCTCAAGTTCAGGTTATCCATCCAGCTGAGAAGTGCTTCAAAACATAAAATCAATATAATTACTTATTTTCTGACTTATAATGTTGAAAGAATATCTTATTTCTTCAGCACAATGACTTATTATGCAGAAATAATAACAGACTCTCTTGACAAGTAATAAGTAAGCCATTATTTAAACTTAATGCATCAACAATTTGAACCTGAAAACAGAAAGATAAAAACCTCCTAATTGGTGAAATTGGTGGGCTTACATACAGAAAGCATGTGAGCCAAATAGGAGATTATATTGGTCTAGTCATTTTATTTATGAAGCCGTATCTGTGTTCATTAGCATGGACATTCTTAGTAAATAACCCATTAAACTGGCCATCCCTACTGGTGTGAGACTTCAGTAGACTGATGGTAATCAGCACCCCTTTTAGTAAATCTCGCCCTTTGACTGCTCTCACATGAAAAAGAATTGGAGTAAAGGTCTCGCTTTCATTTCAGCAATATTTAATGCAATCATTCCAAAACCCTGGCAATGCGAACATATGTCTTTAATGTCAAGAACAGCACCGTGAACTTAAATAGAACTGATGAGGAATAATTAAGGTGGCATATGAATGCATCTGACTGAACTGGACAATGATGATGATGAGGCTGAGGCATGGGATACGAACCCAATGATTGAGTTAAATGATTACGATGATTAAGCAGTTGAGATATGAACATAGTAATAGTTCTGGACAATGAAGATGACAAAGCTTAACAGGACAATGAGGTTGACGAAGCTGGCATAGTGACTGAACTTGACAATGATGATGACAAAGGTGGGCTCTAAACAGGAGATTGTTGTAAATCTTTGTCTGCGCTAACGAAGAGAGTCAGGAGACCAGATGCAGTGAGGACGATCTTTATTCAATAGCACTTTGTGACATTTGCAATGGCCAGTCTGTGTGCGAACAGTGCTCTATCCTGCTCCATCTGTCTCTCTGTCTTCAGAAAACCTCCTCAGACATCATGCACACCCCAGCCTGCAACCCCCCAGTGTGTCAAGATCTTGTCTGTGAATCCCTGTCTAAAGATCTTCAGGACACACCATTATATACATTGCAGCATTAGTTAGCACACCTGTGTCTGTGATCTTTGGTGACAGGGGTCTGAAAATAACAGGAGCTGTGCCTTGAAAGGCTTGGAAACTGGTAATCTACTCTGGAACTAGGCAGTGTGGCACCATATGCATCTGTTGT